TGATAAGAGATAAAGTTTTAAGCTAATATTCTCCTAGTCTTTACATAGGTGCAAAAAAGTAGTTGTTTGTGAGTTTTTAGCAATTCAAGGTATAATCTTAGAAAATACACTAAAGAAACCTCAGAAGCTATATGACCAAAAAGTATAGATATGGCAACTAATTTTTGAAAATTTGGTCTTCAGGGCCCTGAATCTCAGCCTTAAGGTAAATTTAAGATAGTTTTACTGACAAAGAGGAAAGGAAAATACTATGCTTTGAAGTAGAAGTATTATATGCCTGTTTTTTTGGCTGCAGCTTTTATGATATAGTAAAGAACCATAATGATTTTTTCATTTTGAAAGAACTGCTGAGGGGCAAAAAGAGCATGTACCCAGCAGCATGGTGCATTAACTTAAAGCAAAACCCAAAAATTCAATGTACAGAGGCAAAATAATACATTTTCTTTTGAAAAATTTTATAAAGAAAAGAAGTAAAATCTTCAAGTCATTCAGAACAAAATATATGTTTACGAACATATAAAAGACAGAATTCCTGCTTTCAAAGAATTTTATAGGCTAGAAACACAAGTAAGAAAAAAATGTTTTTGGAGAAAATTATAGGTCATGCGATGTAGCAGATGCTTCATTAATAAGGGAAGCATTCTGCCACCCTTGAAAAAGCAAGCTCCCATTTTCTTTTTACTAGTAAATTTTCAGATCTTCACCCTGAAATAAGTATACTTTAGTGCTCTAAGGCAATAAGGAATCCTATCTTAAATTTTCTTTCCGCCTACCTCTTAAATGTGCCCTATATTCTGTAGGAGTCCTTAAATGTTGGCCTTCTTGTAGGCTTTCACATTGCTATTGGTTGAAAACACAAAGCAGAGATTCCTAGGAATACTTGATGAAGAATTGGTGATATGACCCTATGCATGAAGACCTTTAAGAGGTGAAAAAGAACTTAACATACAAAGGGATGTACCTAATGTCTTTGTGCTTTACCTATGCACTTCCACATGCTCAGATGTTCATTAATTGTATTAATTCCAGTTTGTGGATCTGGACAGGGGAGGTGGAGAATTAACAAAAGGAGTTAGCTATAAGGCTGTTGAGTAGATGGAGGACCAAGCAAAAAAGAAAATTTTCCACTATTGTTTAGTGAGCCAGTGGCTTCTTTTTTTTTTTTTTTTTCAATGCATAGCTTACATTTAAGCTTGCTTTCCAACAACTTTTTAAAAAACAGGGATGTCCCATACCCTTTTAAAAATATATATTTTTTTATTGATTTCAGAGAGGCAGGGAGAGGAAGAGAGATAGAAACATCAATGATGAGAGAGAATCATTGATTAGCTGCCTCCTGCAGGCCCCACAACCGGGCATGTGCCCTGCCTGGAAAATGAACCATGACTTCCTGGTTCCTAGGTCAATGCTCAACCTTTGAGCCATACTGACTGGACTATCCCATACCCTTAATAGACAATAGAGACTAGGCCTGACCTAACTTTGTCTTGATGTCATTGAGCTATAGCCCTCCTCCAATCACCTCTTTTGTAGCCAGAGATTACTTTGCACCAAACTGCACCTGGAAATGTGCACACTCCAGGTGGCACTGTCCACATGCACTACAGCATAAATGGTGCGATGTGAGAGTCGCCATGGGAGCTTCCGCTAGAGAGATGCCCAGGCTGCTGTACCCCTGGGAGTTTCTCATGTGAGCCTGGGACTCTAAGCTTAATTGCTAGGGCTCATTATGAGCAGTGAGGAAATGGATAAGGAGATAATACTGATTCAAATATTTATTCAGTGATGAATGCTTATCATTTAGGTAATGAATTATAGGCTCTGATGAGAAGCTTTTTAATAATCTTTAAAAGCCTATAGGTTTCTTTGGGTCTTAACCCCACTGCTCCTTTTTGTCTCTTCTCTGAGTTTGCATATTCTCTTCTCTTACTCCAAGGCCCTGTGCATACCCTTCTATTTTTACCTTTCATCCTCAGTGTGTCTGACTTTCCCCTTATATCTTCTCCCTTTCCTTTTGGTCTCTCTCATCTTTCTCTCTACTTATAACTTTTATTGCTCTCTTCTACTATTTTAAGCATTCCCAGTTTGTCTCCTTTTCTCTCTCTGTCTTTCCTTTCTATGTCCCAGCAAGCACCATTCATCACCATCTGTCTCTTTCCCTTGCTGTTTGTTTAAACTCCTTTTGTCAAAATCTAATTTCTTTTATTTTTCTAGTTTCTTTCTTCCCTTCCTTTAACTGACTATGATGAGAAACCAAAGTACACACTTTCAGTGTCCTCTCATTATGGTTCCAGATTGATTTTTCTTCGATGTCTGCAATCCCTTAAGAATAGACAGGAGGCATTTGGGGATCCTAAAGTAAATCTCAATACCCATGACATTTAAAGCTGGCATTTCCATTGTACCTTGATCAGATTGCAATTTTTTATATGTTTTTATTGATTTTTAGAGAGAGAGGGATAAAGATATAGAAACATCAATGATGAGAGAAACATCACCAATCAGCTGCTTCCTGCATGCCCCCAACTGGGGATCGAGCCTGCAATGGGCATGTGCCCTGACCAGGAATCAAACTGGTGACATCTTGGTTCATGGGTTGATGCTCAACCACTGAGCAACAGTGACCAGGCAGATCATATTGCAATTTTATAAATATTTATAATATATGCTGAAGAATATTTTTAAATGTTTAGTTCTGTACCTGAGACTACTAAAGTGCAGGCTGTGTGATACTTAATCTCAAATTTACAAACCTTCCTCATTGATTTAAAAAAAAAAATTTATGCCTACATCTATGTAAAAATTCCCCTCAAGCATGTTTATTTTTCTGTTGACTCTGCACAAAAGAAAAGCCTGCCTACTAATCTTGCTCCATCCAATAATTATACCTGCAATAATTGGGCAGCAACAGTCCCATGATTTGGGAACTCACATAATGATTTAAACAAAGGCTAAAAAAAAATTTTCCAAATGATTTAGCATCTCTTTCAAGAAATTAGAAAATCAACCACAAAATAGATCAAAGGATAGGAGCAGTAACAGATTAATAGACATAAGAACATACATGAGTTAGAATCCAAAATCTGGTTCATTGAAAAAATAATATAAAATAGATAAAACAATAAATGAATGAAGGAAAATAAAGGGACAAAATGTAAATTTACAGAATAACAATTGGCTAAGAGGAGAATAACCACAGAAACAGAAGGAATGAAAGGAATCTTAAGACACTACTTTGTTCAATTATAGCTAGGTAAATTCTGAAAAATGGAGTGAAATAATATTCGATGAAAGCATAATATGCTAAAATTGACTTAAGAAGAAAGAGAAAGTTCAAAAGAGGCTGGTATTCAGGATTGACACTCCAAGAGCCTCAAAAAGTAAGAACTTAATCTAGCTGTTCTTGCACATTATGACTGAATAACAGCCTTGCCAATATCCATATAAAATGGAAAAATTTGACAAAGAGCTACCCTTAGAAGAAGCATAAGGTACTGATAGTCTAAGAGGGAATTCTACCAAAGTTTGACAGAGTAGATAATTTAAATTACTGAAATTATTTTAGAACATAGAAAAATAAAATAAGTTGGAATTTAGTTTTTAATTAAGATAGCAATTAAAATAAAAATATTGAAGAAAGATAGATGGCAATAAATATTGCTGGGACAATTGAGTGGTCACATGGAACAATCCCTCACACCAAAAACAACAACAACAAAACCCTTCCATTAATTAGACCAATGATTAAAAATGTTCAAAATGAGTCCTTAAAAGTACCAGGAGACAGTGTGACAAATTTTTAATCTAAAACATGCTTAAACCATAGTGAAACTTGATAAATGTTATTATGTAGAAAAATGACTATATGGCAACAAAATATTATAAACAAAATTTAAAGATAAATTAAAAATGGTGCAAAAAATAAACATTTGTAATTCTAACCATAAACAAAAGGACATATTGATTAATAGGCAAATAGTTCTTGCAAAGCAGAGAAGAGAAAAGACAAAAACACAACAGAAAAATGGACAAATAAGTAGGAGTTATTTCCATATAAAGAAAAAACAAAAGGCTTTAAACATATAAAAGGCGTTTGAAACACTCATCTTAAGAAAAACAAAAATGAAAGCTACTTCTGGAAACTATACTTTTCAGAATGTCAAAACCCAAAAGTTGTCAACATCATCTGTTGGAAATACTAAAGAAAAACTAGGCAGTCTCATATATTGACAGGCACTAAGATATATTAAATTTGCACAACTCCACTAAAAGACAATTTGGAAATATCTACCCACGTTACAAAGGCATCTGCCTTCTGACACAGCAGTTATACTTCTGAGAATTCATCTTACAGGCAATTATTCCACATTGAAAAATATATCTATGTGAAAGTTTACTTTTGTGGTAGTCTGTAGTAGTAGACAATCAAAAACAACCAAATGCCAACCAAAAGGCAACTGGTTCAATAAATTGTAGTGCATCCTTACTAAGGAAAATATCATAACTGATTAAAAAATAATAATGATAAAATGCTCTATGTACTGGCATAGAAAGTTCTCTAAGAAATGAAGTTAAGTGAAAAATGCAACAGATGTTTAGTATACCAACTTTCATGTAAAAATTGAGAAAAAAAATAAAATTTACTTATAATTTCTTATATTTAGATTGTGTAGAACCTGGAATGATTCACAAGCAATTAATGATAAGAGGAGGTGGGGGTAAACTAGTCAAATGAAGGTCAGTGATGGGAGGGAAGCTTTCACTTTATTAAAACATTGATTTATATTTTATAATAATACCTATTTTAAATAATCAAAATAATTTTTGAGAAGGGAATACTTGCTCTTGATAGAATACCTAGGTGGTGCTAGAGCCAAAATTTGAATTAAAAAAAAGAAACTGAGTTAAATACTGTGGCACATGATTATAAATAATTTCTATGACTTTGAAATATAATGTGTTAGAATAACAGCACTATTTTGCATAGTGCTTTACTTTACCTTACAGTAAAATGTAGAACTTTCTTCTTCATAGAATCTTGCTTTTTATACAGATATTTTGTTTTATGTGGTTTTATCAATAGTTTTTTCAAAGGAAGAATATCAGCGGTGGGGAAGAATAGTTTGGAAAGGATGTTGGCAACTCTCCATCCTATATATTTGGAGAAAATTTCATCCCCTCCATTTGATGAAACTCTAGTGAAAGGATCTGTGGGGTCATTTAATTCAGCCTGTTGAAAGAAAAGAAAAAGGAACCAGTTAAGATAGCATTAAATTGGAGGGAAAGTGATATATTATTAAATAAAAAATAAAATGTATGTTTGTTTTCTTTGACTAATGTTGCAGTCTTTCTGTTAATAAAAAAAGCCTTTATAAAATAGTAGTTTCCCCAAAAAATATTAAAATAATTACCATTTTCAATGACATACAAAATTAAGCAAGAATGAAATTTTGAAATAACATTTTTGAATATAGTGATATAATTTTTATTTTAAATTTGCATACTTCCCACACAAGAATTTCATAACCATTTATAGTATTTATTTAATAAGTAAGCAAGCAGTTGAAGAAATATAGGCATTGTATTAAATAAGAATTTCACTTCTCTATGTATAATCCAAACTTTCCTTGGAATCAACAGAAAATTTCTATAGAACAAAATTTGTGTTAAGTGAAAAAGCAAAAAGGGCTTTGTATTTAACTTACATTAAAGATGTTCTAGGATTAGATTTAGATTTAGATTAAATTGAACATGTTCTAATAACAAAAAAAACCTAATATAAGAATTCTACAATGTTTATCCAATCTTTATTCAGGAAAGATCTATTTTCTGTATTTTCCTATTTATGTTCAATAATGTTCATGACAGATTTTATATTACATCTTCTTTTGAAATGTCTAAAGGAATATTTTCATTGGCTGAAATTGGTAATAACAAATGAAAATATAAGTTCCAAAATGTCATGTATTATACTTGTTTATAAGGTTCAGAATAGGTTTCTGTTAGGAATTCTCTCTCACAAATAAATTATATATGTTCTCCTTGCATTTAAGTTTTTACATTTTTTTATTCAATGATATCAATCTTCATGCAGTTTATTACCAGTCACTAAAGATTCATTTTATATGCTTATCGATCTTATGGTAGAAAATGAAGGAGTGGAAAATGCCTTTTTGCACATGAACAACTAACTAAGTCTCTTTAGGATTCCAAGATCAAGCTTGGTTCAATGAAATACTGTTTAAATATTGACTATTGTATTATTTAAACAAAATTATTGTGAAAAAAAAATGAGAACAATCCTATATAATAAAAGGCTAATATGCAAATCTACCAAACAGCAAAATGACCAGTAGCTATGCTGATCACTGACCACCAGGGGGCAGATGCTCAATGCAGGAGCTGCCCGCTGGTGGTCTGTGTGCTCCCACAGGGGGAGCGCTGCTCAGCCAGAAGCCGGACTCATGGCTGGCAAGTGCAGCGGCAGTGGCGGGAGCCTCTCCCACCTCCGTGGCAGCGCTAAGAATGTCTGACTGATGGCTTAGGCCCACTCCCAGCAGTTGGACATCCCCCGAGGGCTCCTGGACTGCGAGAGGGCGCAGGCCAGGCTGAGGGGCCACCCCCCCTCCAAGTGCACAAATTTCGTGCACTGGGCCTCTATCTGATAATAAAGATTCAAAAAATAAAGGGTTAGAGCAATAAGGAAAATAGGAAAAGGGAGGTAAGTAAATATGGATTACTGTAAAAGCCATTGAATATGGGAAATAAAATGCAAAAAAATTATTGAAAAACTAGAGGCCCAATGCACAAAATTCGTGCAAGGGGCCCAGCCCTCTCAGCCCCGGCTGCCTCGGCCAGCCCTCGCAGCCTCAGCCAGCCCTGGCAGTCTCTCACAGCCCCAGCTGACACTCGCAGCCCTGGCCAGCCCTCGCAGTCCCTCACAGCCCCGGCTGCCTCAGCCAGCCCTTGCAGCCCTGGCTACCTCAGCCAGCCCTCGCAGCCCCTAGCTTCATCCGGAAGGTTGTCCAGAGAGTTGTCCAGAATGTCATCCAGACGGTCATTTGGCTGTTTGACCTAATTAGCATATTAGCTCTTTATTATATAGGATAGAAAGAAAATCATGCAAATAGGTAAGCACCAAAATATGAAATGAAGACTCAAGAAAGCCTCAAAATGCTGGAAAGTCAATATTAAAATTTATAAAGAAAACATATTTTTCATGTTTTAGAAAAAGAACTTAATCAGTAGTTCTCATTGAAATACATGTATTCTTAAAATATCTTTTATTTTCATTATCTCTGGATATTTGAATCAGCATACAATCATGTTTATACTCTTTTTAGTTGCGTATCTAGCTTATTAACTAGGTCAAAATCACGAAAAGTGCAGTCAATTTGAAACAACAAATTAAACTGTGTCTAGGACACTTAGTACCTATTGTGACTTTGAGGACATTATTTACCTTCTCAAAGTCTGTGGTTTCATCTGGAAAATGTAATCATGATACCTGGATTATTTATTCTGCTTAGCCTCCGTGGCTTAATTTTTCATGAGAAAAGTTACTTCAATGTCAATAGCAACATATAGTAGTGCAAGGACCTATTATTATGAGCTCTTCCATTACTAAGAGAGTGATAAATTAATAAATTTGTGAATAAATGAATGAAGTAGCAAACATAATGTCTTTTGATGACAATTTCTGATAAAACACATTGTTTCCAGGGTAGCATTACACTGCTTTATAGAATCATGATGCTCTTTCCTATGTCTTGACTTCTTGTTTGCTTCCCCCAGATTGGATAAGTTGTAGATCCAGATGTCAGCTTTCTCAAGAAGCAAAATGATGGTATTCCCACCTTTCACAATGGTTCCCTGGTTGAAATTCCAGTTAATCCCTCCCCCATTGATGTCCAAGGCATATAATTTCAAATATGGGTCAAATGCATCATTGCTGGATCTATTAAAAGGTTTTGCTTGTCTGTTTTCCTACAGAAAGTAGCCAGGAAATAGTATGGACTTTGTAGTTAGAAAGATCTGAAATCAGGTCTGGCTTTTCCATGTACTAGTTAAGAATGTAAACTTGGGAAATTTAAATTCTCTAGGCTTATGTTTGGTGCTTGGTTTAGTCCCATCTTATATTTCATTGTGATATGGAGTTAATAATAACTGCCTTTCAGAATTTTGTAAGGGTTCTTTAGATGGCAGAGGGTGATCTGTCTAGTAGACAGTGACAAGTTCAATGGGTGTCAGTTCCTTTCAGGGCTTCTCTAAGGCAAAGCACTAATGCTCCAGCCCCTGCACCTCCTTCCACCACCAACCCACGGGAGACTTGGTCCATCCTCTGCTGGGCTGGAAACAGTGTTATGTTGTCACTTTTATATTAGAACTAGAGGCCCAGTGCACAAAATTCGTACATGGGTAGGGTCCCTAGGCCTGGCTGGCGATCAGGGCTGATCAGGTTCCCCGCCTCCCCACCTCCTCCTTCCCTCATTCCCTCAGTGCCCCATCACTGCAGCTGGTCACCTGCCATGTTCTGTGCTGCCCCCTGGTGGTGGTGGTCAGTGCATGTCATAGCAAGCAATTGAACTCCCATTCTCCCGGTTGAACTCCTGAGGGGACACTTTGCATAGTAGCCTTTCAGGCCCGGTGCACAAAAATTTGTGCACTCAGGGGGGTCCCTCAGCCTGGCCTGTGCCCTCTTGCAGTCTGGGACCCCTCGGGGGATGACCACCTGCTGGCTTAGGCCCGCTCCCTGGGGGATCAGGCCTAAGCTGGCAGTCAGACATCCCTCTGGCAGCCCAGGAGCCCTTGGGGGATGTCCACTTGCCAGTTGGGAGCAGGCCTAAGCTGCAGTCGGACATCCTTAGCGCTGCTGAGGAGGCGGGAGAGGCTCCCACCACCACTGCTGTACTGGCAGCCATCAGCCTGTCTTATGGCTGAGCAGAGCTCCCCCTCTGGGAGCGCACTGACCACCAGGGGGCAGCTCCTGCATTGATCGTCTGCCCCCTGGTGGTCAGTGTGTGTCATAGTGACCAGTCATTCCCAATCGTTCTGCTGTTAGGGTCAATTTGCATATTACCCTTTTATTATATAGGATAGATATTTGTCAAACAGGATCATGATTATATTTCTATTAGTCATATTTTTGTATAATAGTCTTCCCTTTTCTCTTAAAGCCATTATTCTAATGTTACAACATTCAGCAACTTAAATACCTCCTTGGAAGTAGATGTGCACAAAATATTAATGACCATTCCTTATACCAGAATTCAAATTCATGAACTTACTACTAGTTTGCATGCTAATGAACATTACCACCAACTCTATCTTTAAATGTTATTTATACATTTACAGTTTCATCAGAGGTTCCTATTTTTTTTATTTTTAGCAATGCCAATATAGGCTTTAAAATTCAGGGTTTTTCTTATTGCATTGTTGAAACTTGACATTTTTCTTAAGAACAAATGGCATTTTTTAATATCTATGTTAATTTTACTGATTGAGTATTAAAATTGGAAAAGTTGTATTCTTGGATATTTATCTTATACATATTCTAACCATATGCAGGAGCATGGCTTTGTATTGGGTATAAAGATGGTAAAAACTTCCATTAATGAATGTTAGCAGGAAGATGGTTAAGTCAACACAAGGGGAAATTCTAAGGATACCGTAATTCAGCTAATTCACTATCCTTGACATGAGAATAAAAAGAAAGAAATAGGATGTTAAGCCATTGTAACACAATTTGCAGCTAATTCTACCTCTCTCTTGCTATCTCTTTTTTGTCTCTACCTGTCCTTAACTAACCTTAGAGCTAGGAATATTTAAGTTTTTTTGTGAGAAAAATGGTAATTTTGTTCTTTAAACCTCAAAATTTAAATATAAGGAACTCATAGTCTCAAAAGACTATTTCCTACAGGAGTTATAAAATCTTACAAAGGACAAAATGAGTAACTCCTTGCTACTCCTTAGACCATTATTATTGTCATTACTTCCTGGGAGCATATTATAAATACAGAATCACAGGCCCTATTCCTTTACACACATTAAAGTTTAAGACGGACTGATGTTGTAGATTAAGAAAGAGACTAGTTGGGAATATCTCATTTTCCAATTTACCAGTTGTCAGATACTGCACAAGTTATCTAACCATTCTGAGCACAGTTCCTTATTCCTAACATGAGGTGATAATACTGCACATTCTTGGGTTGTTGTTAAGATTAAACACAA